AAAAAAAAAAAAAAAATGTAGTGTGCTGTACTGTAATCTTTTCTCTGGTTTAGTTACATTATTTACAGTTTAGAACTCACATAAACAGTTTGGCTGCAAGACATTATTTTAAAATTGCTGGTGTGGGGGCTGTGGAGATAGCAGCATAAGCACCTGCCTGACATGCGCAAGGTCCTGAGTTCGATCCCCAGTACTGTAAAAAATAAATACATAAATAAATAAAATTGGTGGAGTGTGTGACTCAGTGGTAGAACATGCGCTTAACCTTTGTGAGGCCCTGGGATCAAAACCCTGAGACAGAAGCAACAAAAATTCCAGAACTTTCTGAAATATCCCTTATATACATGCAAGAGTGTGTCTAAAGTAGTGCTGGCCAGAACCATGTGATACTGTACTCCCAGCACTCTGGAGACTAACTCAGGAGGCTCACTGCCAGTTCTGGGCCAGCCTGGGCTACATAGTATATTTAAGACCAGCCAGAACTACACAGTGAGACCCTGTCTAAAAAACAAAGTAATGTTCTCCAATACAAATATGAGCCCCACACCTGATGTTAAATGTTCTAACAAGCTTTTCTTTGAGACAGGGTCTTGCTGTGCAGTTCAGGCTGGCCTTGTGCTCGCTTTTGTAGCCCCCAGGCTGATCTGGAACTCTTAGCAATCCTCCTGTCTCAGCCTCTGAGGTGCTGGTAGGATGCACCACCATGCCCCATTAATAAGCTTATTAAAAAGTTAAGGCTGGGGATATAGCTCAGCAATCTAAGCACCTAACTGGCAAGCACAAGTACCCAAGTTCCATCCTAGCACCACATGCTGTGTCAGCCCTAGAACCTCAGACGTGCCATGCTGGACAACAGAATTATGTGTCATGGTGCACACCTGTAATCCTAGCACTGGAGAGTCTGAACTGCACAGTGAGACCCTGCACCAAATAAAAGATTTTTAAAAAGTTAAAGTAAAAGCTATATTAATTTTTTATAGTGTATTTCATCTAACCCAGTATATTAAAAATATAGCATGAGGGCTGACCAGATAGCTCAGCGAATTAAAGCACCTGCTTAGGCAGACACACGGGGGCCAGGGGTTCGATCCCCAGCCTGCCATGCTGGCCCTGCCCTGTAGGGTGTGCAGAGACAGTGATTGAAACTGGGCATGATGGTGCAAGCCCGTAATCCTAGCGCTTGGGAGGCTGAAAAACAGGAAGGATCACTATGAATTCAATCTGTGTAGTGAGGCCCTGTAGACCCTGAACTAAATACATTTTAAAAAGTATATATCCATATTGTTCATAAAATATTTTCATTTTATACTGTTTTCAGGGGGATATTTTTAAATTTTTTTGGAGGGGGAAGTTATTTTTTTGTTTTTGGTGCCAAGGACCAAACCCAGGGCTTCCAGCTTACAAGGCAAGAGGTTTCCAGGGCTCTATAGGTCCTGTTAGCTTTGAGAATGACTGTGCTGAGCATTTTTTTTTTTTTTTAATTTTAGGGAAGGGTCTACAGGGTGTTCAGGGTCTCACTACTAAGTCGGACTTGTAGTGATCTGCCTGTTTACAGTCTCCCAAGATCTGGGATTACAGGTGTGCACCACCACGCCCAGTCTCAATTGCCATTTCACCATCCACAGGGGCGGGGCCGGCATGGCAGGCCCAGGGTTTGAAAACCCCCCACCCCATCCCCCTCCCCCCTGCACTGAGCAGGCACTTTAATCTGCTGAGCTCTTTGGCCAGCCCTCAGCGCATTCTTAGCACCTGGGTGCAAAGCTGGACTATACCGCTCAGCCAGCTCCTCAGCCCTGTATACTCAGTTTTTATCTCTTGCTCCCAAGGCTTATTTTTATTTTTTGTATTTAGTACAGGATCTCACTATGTAGATCATACTTGTAGTGGTCCTGTTTACAGTCTCCCAAGTGCTGGGATTATAGGCTTGCGCCACCATGCCTAGTCTCAATTGCCATATCATTGTGTCCTGGGGGTGGGGCTGGCACAGCATACTAGGGATTGAACCTCGCTGCTGCACTCTGCTTAAGCAGGCGCTTTAATCCACTGAGTTATCTGGCCTGCCTTATACTCCCGAAGTTTAAAAGACAGCTTATTAGCTGCTCATGGTGATTCATTCCTGTAATCCTAACACTTAAGAAGCTGAGACAGGAGGATTGATGCAAGTTTGAGGCCAGGTTGGGCTACTACATAGTGTTTCTCAAAAAAAAAAAAAGCTCATGAGATTATCATATTGGAAAGCATTTTTTAAAAAATTTATTTATGTTTTTTTCTTTTTGAGACAGTTTACCTGTGTAGTTCAGCTGGACTTGAACTCACATGGTAGCCCAGGCTGGCAGTGATCCTCCTGCCTCAGCCTCCAAGTGCTGGTATTACAGTGGTGCACCACCAGGGCCAGCCTAAAAAGCATTTAAAAAGGGATTTGCCGTGTGTGGTAGTACAGCCTTGTAAGCGATTTGCCGTGTGTGGTAGTACAGCCTTGTAAGCGATTTGCCGTGTGTGGTAGTACAGCCTTTGAAAGGCTGAGGCAGAAAGGTTACCAAGAATTCAAAGCTAGCCCGAATCACACCCAGACCTCAAAAGGGGAAAAATGGTTATTTGAAAAAAACAGGTAACAGAACAGTATGTACAACATTTTTGTAAATATGTTTATGCATGAACTAAACAAATAAAATTGATTAGAAATTAGAAGAAAAAAGGAATTAGAAGCAAGGGCCAGTGAGATAGTGCAACAGACCAGGTGCCTGCTAGGCAAGTGCAGGGACCATGGTTCAATCCCTGGCACTGCCAGCCTCACCCCTGGGCCCACTGTAATCCCAGCACTGAGGAGACTGAAAACAGGATCACTATGAGTCCGAGCTGCACAGTGAGACCCTGTACCAAATACATTTAAAAAAGAAATTAGGAGTTGAGGTACCATTTCCTATGTTTGTTACCTTTGGGAAGTTACTTTGTGTGTGCCAGGAATCAAACTCAGGACCTTAGGGGCTGGAGAGATGGCTCAGTAGAATAAGTACTTCCCTGGCAAGTGCAGGGGCCTGAGTTCAATTCCCGGTTCCCGCCAAAAAAAAGGAAACTCAAGACCTTGCACTTGCCAGGCAGGCACCATGGCACTGAGCTATGTCCTTGGTCCCTGGGAAGTCACTTTTTTTTTTTTTTATTTAGTACAGGGTCTAACTGCACAGATAGGACTCATAGTGATCCTCCTGTTTTCAGCCTCCCAAGCCCTAGGATGACAGGTGTGTGCCTCACCACACCCAGTCTCAAGCGCTGTCTCAGTGTGCCCCAGTGCAGGGCCAGCAGGGTACACTGGGGATTGAACCCTGGTCCCTGCATCTGCCTAAGCAGGTGCTTTAATCTGCTGAGCTATCTGGCCAGCCCTCCTGGGAAGTCACTTCTTGAGAGTCTCATTTTCTTCATCTGTAAAATGAAAATTTTAAAAATGAATCCATGGAGGCCAGGGATATAGCTCAGCAGCATAAGCGCAAAGTCCCAAGTTTGATCTCAGGTACTGCAAAAAAAAAAAAAAAAAAAAGTCCATAATTGCAGTCCACTATGATTGCATATCATGGTACATGCATATAATGTATCTTTCACAGTGGGGCTATTCTGAATGTAAGGTCGGAGAGCTGTTAAGGAAGGAAAAGAAAAACGAGGAAGAAAGGGCATGTGAAGCACACAGGACTCTCCTGAGTGCTGCTGTCATTGTAATAAGAAAGGTGCTAATAGGTGGTTGTTGCTGAGCAGCAGGATTACTGATTATTATTTTTAATATGTATGTATATTGTAATTGAACTTTTATTTGAATATATATCTTTTTTTTTAGGGAAGGGTCTACAGGGTATTCAGGGTCTCAATACTAGATTGGACTCATAGTGATCCACCTGTTTACAGCCTCCCAAGAGCTGGGATTACAGGCACATGCCACCACTCCTAGTCTCATTTGTGTCTTAATGTGCCCCAGGGATGGGGCCGGCATGACAGGCCCAGGGATTGAACCCCTGGTCCCTGGGGGCTTTAATCTGCAGAGCTATTTGGGGGTTCTTTTGTTTGTTTTTTTTGTTTTCTTTGTAGAACCAGGGATTGAACCAGGCCCTTGCGCTCGCCAGGCAAGTGATAAAGCCAAGTTTTACGGGGTTTGTGTGTGTGTGTGTGTGTGTATTGTTGTGTTTTTTGTTTTTTTTTTTTAAGACACACACTATTTGGCTTTTGGGCCCATACAGTTGATGTATTTCTCCCTTCCCTTATTTCCTGTAGACATGGCCCCAGGGCATGGGCATGGACAGGAGCATGGTCATCCTAAGTTGGAATTTCCAGACTATAAACAATGGAGAATAGAGGGGACACCATTGGAAACTGTGCAGAAGAAGCTGGTGGCACAAGGCCTAAAGGACCCGTGGGGCCGGTAAGAAACAGAGAAACCTGTTTCAATTATTGCTGGATTCAGTTTATTTTTTATTTTTTATTTTTTTGGATTCAGTTTTGAATATTTTCTTTTTTTTTTTTTTTTGGCTGGCTCAGGATGCCTTAAGGGCAGGTCTGGTAAGGCAAAAGGATCTGGGGATCAAACCACAGAATCCTGAGCCTGACTGCATTGCTTAAGCAGGCATTTAAACAACTGAGGTAATGGGCAGGCCCCCTATATTTTCAGAAAATGTTCACACCTTTGGTCTTGGTATCTAAATTAGACTTGATTATTTTTTGCTAAGTCATATATTTTTTGATTTAAATGGCTTTTGTTCTCTATACATGATTTTTTTTACTGACTTACCATTATTTGTGGGAGGAGACATTTTTCCCTTCAGCTCTCTAACTTCTGTTTGCTTTTTTTTGTGAGGACACTTAGAATTGTTACCAAGACAGGAAAGCAGTCCTCTGAAGGAAAGTTCTGATGCTTTTACATAGTACAGTTGTAATAAATGTTATGTTGTTCTGTGCCAGTATAGATCGTGTTACTGTGTTTGACCCTTCTGACCTGTAAGATTGCTACAGAAGCAGAAGCAGACCCAGCAGCCTGGGGCTGCTCCTTGTGGTGCCTGGCAGCCATGTGGGCAGAGCCAGCTCTGAGAGAAGTGAGCTGAGACTGAGAAAAAATGTCCTCTGTGTGAAACTTGGTCCTATAGTCTCTGTGTGTGTGTGTGTGTAAATGGGGAGTGAACTCAGGCTCTTGCACTTGCCAGGCAAGAGCTTATTCTACTGAGCTATCTCCCGGCCCACTCCTATAGTCTTAATTGTCCTATGCCACAGATTCTTATGTGCTGCTTGGATGATCTTATATGATACTGCATTTAAGTCCATTAGAAAGATGGAAGTTAAAATTACCTGTACCCTAGCATGTACCTTAGTTATTTATGTGCAATTGAAAATTTTCGTTTTTGTTTTTTTTTCCTCCTAGCAATGAAGCTTGGAGATACATGGGTGGCTTTGCACACAACGCTTCCTTTCTTGGTGCAGTCTTAAAAGGATTCAAGTGGGGATTTGCAGCATTTGTGGTGGCTCTTGGGGCTGAGTATTACCTGGAGTCCCTGGATAAAGATAAGAAGCAGCACTGAAGATGGTTCCCAGAAGTGGTTCAGTGACTTCATAACTCTTGAAGATAAGATTTTTCTATGGTAGCCCAGTTGTCTCTGTGTGTGTGTGTGTGTGTGTGTGTGTCCCTTAAAGAAGGCTGGTTAAAATTTAATAAAATATATGCCAGTATGTTTTGTGGTTATTTAAACTAAAAGCAGGGGCTGGTGAGATGGCTCAGTGGTCTAAAGCACCTACTTGGAACAAGCTTAGCAAACACAGGGACCGCGGTTCAATCCCCCAGCACCACATGCCAGCCAGCCCGCCCCCTGGTGGGCTGAGCTCCCCCCCCACACACAAATTTAAAAAAAAAAATAAACTAAAAGCAGCTCTTGGTCCATGTCCGACTGTGGACAGCTTGTGAGGGTTCCAGCGTGTCTGGTCTGTGCGGGCAGTGAAGCCTGGCCAGCGCTGAGGCAGGCAGGAATGGCTGTTCCTGCAGCTCAGAGGGACCAGGGTTTGCTCTGGAACTCTTAACTGCTCATGGCTCACACATACTGTGGTCTTGTTCATTTTTCTTGTGCTCTTCTTTAGTCTTATCAAGTTAGAATTTAACACTGGGCTTGTTGAGGAGTAATAATAGCCTGGGTTCAGTAGCACATGCCTATAATCCCAGCACTCAGGAGCTGAGGCAGGAGGATTGTTGCCAGCTGGAGACCAGCTTGGGCTACAGAGTGAGCTCAAGGGCAGCATAGTGAGACCCTGTCTCAAAAAGACCAAAAAAAAAAAAAAAGAATGAAAAAAGAAGGGAGGAGGCGTTGTTAGTGTGCTGCCAGGTGCAGTGGTGCCACCTTTAATCCCAGTACTTAAGAGACTAAGATGGGAAGATCTTGAGCTCAAGACTACCGTGAGCTGCATAGCCAGATTCTGCTTCACAGACAAAAGGGGGCTGGCCAGATGGCTCAGCAGACTAAAGCACCTGTTTAGACAGGTACAGGGAGGGGTTCAACACCCAACAGGGGCATACCATGCCTGCCCTGCCCCCAGGGCACACTGAGACATCAAATGAGACTGGGTGTGGTAGCACACACCTGTAATCCCAGTGCTTTGGAGGCTGAAACGGGAGGATCATTGAGTCTAACTCCTTTGCATATTTTGTTTACACATAGTACATACTATGAATATGCATATAAATCCAAATGCTGTTTGTTAGATAATGTTATTAGACTGAATTACCTTTGATACATTTGAACAGTGAAAAAGGTAGCTTTAGTGGTTAAAAAGGTAGACTCTCCATGTCTCAGGTCTTCATATTTTTCTGGTTAAATCACATGCAAAAGTGAGGCAACTCTGCATATCTCACTGGGAAGCATGTTGGTTGTTGCCAAAGACAGGTTTCTGAGCCTGCACAAAAATAAGAACATTGGGGGAACTACCCACTCGGGCCCCCCTCCTGTCCCTCTCTTGGACAGGAGCTTTCTTTCTCAAATATATTCTGCTCATAACCTCCATTTGTTCCTAAAATTCATTCACATGGTTTTACACTATAAAAGACCCTGGAAGAGATAGCTTCCCAGGGAACTATCTGCTTGGGCCCCCCTCTTGTCCCTCTCTTGGACAGGAGCTTTCTTTCTCTCAAATATATTCTGCTCA